GAGTTGAAACCTTGTGGGGTAACTTTCAGTGAGGTGAGGTCAGCTTCTGTTATGGGGTCAGTTGGTCCATTCGGTCGTTTTGGTATTACAGAGCGATGAATTTATTTGTCATGTAACATTATATCTTTAGGTCATCGATACGGTTGGCAGATCCGCAGGAATAACACGAAAAGAGGAAAAGATGATCGATGTACAGAGGAAGACGTGATGTGGGGGGTGCAGAGGATGTTGACACTCGGGGATTCCCCCAGGGAATATCCCCGAGAAGGGATCGCTCCCTGGTTCCTTCTCTCCTTTTTCCTCCCGCTGAGAGAGGAAGACAGATAGATTCTCATAATGAGCTTTTTCCACCCCCCTTTCTTGCCACTTCCCTCCGCTTCCTGTCCCTTCCACATGTCTCTCCCACTTGGCTTTGCGTCGAGGGTGACACGGGAAGGTGACTTCCCCGTGGGGGAATTCACCTTCCCGTGTAATTTCGGTTCGTGTTCCTTTGACCTTGTTGGCTCGTTCGAGTTTGATAGGCGGGTCTGTAATGGTGGGTGGGGATCTGATTGGGCGATGGCGGTCGTGTCGTTTCGATCAATTGAGCAGCAGGGCCGAAATGATCGAGTCAAAACGGGAGAAGGCTGGCATAATTAATTATTTTCTCTTTAGCAAGCAAGGTTTCGTTGCACTTTATGCAATGGCCAATAACCGCTCCGAGACGGTGCAGAATCGGAGCGATTGAACGTCTTTTCGTGTCCCGTTTCTGCTCTAGCCGGGTTCACATCACCGAGGCGACTCTGCAGTGCCTGGGCGGAGAGTACGAGGTCGTTCCAGGGAGTGGGGGCTCCCGCTCAACCTATCTCAGGGAGAAAGGCGTCAAAACTTACTTCATCGTGCCTCCAGAGAGACGGCGCAAGGTGATGCGACTTAAAGTTCCTTTTTTTTCTCGGTTGGGACCGATGCGTAGTTATCGGCTGGGGGATGATTTTATGGGCACTGATGCCAGCGATGAAGTAGATGGTACTTGATGAGGCAGAAAATTAATATCCAATGGAGCGGCAGTGCATTGAATTAAGCGAGGCTGCAAGTGGTCTCTATCGATGGAGAGTAATGCTTGGAGAAAAATTCAGGTTGCATCAGTTTGCCGGAATCCGCTGGGCATTTCGCACTCGCCAGACTGATTTTGGAGTTTGGGAACTGAGGTACTTGAAAGTCTTTCATGTTGAAAGTTGAAGAGGATGGTCAGCAGCTATTAAAAAAAAAAGCATTTGACCATGATTCTGTATTATATGCCCTAATGAAAGCCTGTCAGACTGGTTTGCCAGGATTATGATTAATATTCTTTTTTTCGACCATGCATTTTTCCCATATGTTTGTTTCGTATCTCTTCCATGTGTAAGCTGCTGGCGGACTGATTTACATTACCTTGTGAATTTAATTCAGTCTGAGGGATGTGGCAGAGCAGGATCCTCAGATGATGGATGGATTGATTATGAGAAGGAAGTGGGGGAGGGGAACAGGCCTGTATGGGCCAAAATTGGATTTATCGGATTATCATCGATCCTTCCTGTTGCAGGGGGGATGCCTTCTTCGTATAAGTGACTTATTGTGAACACTTGATAGATCCCAGTGCGGGGAAGGAACCGAAAGGGAGATGTATGGGGTGGGGCCAAAGAATGTGGCATTGCAGAATTGCTGATGCTGTGTTTAATCGAAATGGTTTTTATATTTTTTAAAATGGTGCCTGTGGAACAGCAGTCGATGTGGCAGGCAGTTTGGCAGAAAGCGGGTTTTGACACGCCGTGAGACGCGGCTTCACGTTTGTCTTTCGTTTTCGTACGAGGACTTTGGTTTTTTTTGTATATGTTCTTGCATTGCCTGTGTTTTTTGTTGGTGCACTTTCTATTGCCTGGCCTGTGCACTGCGTGGACCCAGCACTTTTGGATTTTCTTATCTGGGAGCATCTCGATGAGATTGTATCAGCGGCTTGTTTAGATCAAAGTATTGTTCAAGAGAATCCAGAGCACTGGCTTCTGATGCTTTTTTAATGAAGGAAAGTTTATAAGCTGCATATATATAATTTTTAAAATAATGAATCTCAAATTCTTTAAAGTGCTTATTTGGCATAGCTCATGAGAACTATGGGTATTTGAACTATGAGAACTATGACTTCCTGCATCTGGTAGATTATCCATTATGATTGGGGGAGATTGAATTTCCCATTTCATATTGTCATTTTCAGGTTTTTTTTTAGCTTTGCATTCATAAATATATATTCCAAAGTATCTGCCTTATGGCAGCACACTGTTCTAAGTGGTACTGTGTAGGAAGAAAGTAGTTATCACATAGAGCCACAAAGCACCCTGTATGCCTATAACATATAATGTGAAAAGAAAGCTCCCTTCCACCAATGTGGATCGCTTTTGAGCAATCCATTGAGAAAAGGGGTTGCAGGAATGGTCAATCCATCATGATGTTTATCACACTGCTGGCTTCATTCTCTTTCTCTCTCTCCTATGCAGCACATTTCCTTCTTGCACTTGAAGAATGGCATTGTGCTTAACTCATTTGTGCAAAATACCACTTGCGACCGAACGAGACTTTGCTCGGCCGAGTCCTAACATCTCTGTGAAACTGGAACTTGTACATTTGCAGGTATTTGATGTTTTGAGGAAACTTGTAGGTCTGTTTTGCACAAGACATCAGGACTTGAAAAAATAAAAAGTTACCTTCGAGGGAATTATCTTGGTAGATGGGAAGATGATAGGAAAACAAAAGACAAATAGTTGCAATTGGATGCCAGACAATTTTGATTCATAGATGCATAGGTGCTGTCTAACCTAATGTTTTGCATAGCTCAAGCAAAAGTTGATTTTTTTAGCATAACCATGTGTAGCCTGAAGCAAAAGTGAATAGGTATTAGAAAATGAAGTTCTGTGTTCTAAATGCCAGGTGTCATGTAAAGTAGCACATGAATGTGAGTGTATGTGTACAGTGGATCACTTGGGAATCCCATGGATGATGACTTTGTCCATGTGTCTGTAAATACCTACCTGTCCAGTGTCGTGGGTTGTGTCGTACGTGTGAGATCTAACGCGGCCTTGTCCTCTGTCTCTTGTCTTTTTTTTCTCTCCATCCTCTCGCTTGCCCCTTTCGTCTGCTGCTCTAACACGGCCTCCTCTGCTCTTCCGTGCACACTTCCCGTGTCGGTCGCCTGCGACACGCCCTCAGACGCTGCTCTTCAACACCCTTCAGGTACGCTCCGCCCTGGGGGCCGCGGCGTCTGGTTCCCGTCGCAAGCTCAGCTTCAAGAACGTCTCGAACCTGGTCGTCCAGCTGCTCCATTCCATCAAGTATTCGGTGGAGGTGCCCTTTTCCAACATGGCCATTCAGACTGGCACTACTGAGAAAGCACCCCAAACCAAGAAGGTATGCAGTTGTATGTTTCTTGGACATCTCAGGGCTGTAATCATATTCCAGAATGGCGTTTTTTGCTCCAGATTCTTCCAGGGGAAGAATGGAGTTGAATTTCCCTTTAATGATTTTCCACAGGGAATCCTGTTTCAGGGTGCAAAATGAAAAAGATATGATCTGATTTCAATAAATTCTCTGAGAACAGAATTTCTCTCCTTGCAAAATAAAAACTTGGCCTGCATGGTCTGGAACATGCTAGAAAGAGTGCAGTTCCTGTTTCTTAGTCTTTTGACAAGCTTCAAGAGTTGGTTTTAATCTGGCACATCACATGAATTATGTGAATGTGGCAAGGCATGCCTGACTCTTGAACCCAACCCATGGAGATTTTATGGACAAAATCTCTATAAAAAAAAAAAAAGTAGTCAAAACAATAATAAGCTTCTAGGGACTAAAAGGAGTTGAAGCTTCCATGATTTCAGAGGTATTTGAGACTGCTTTTTGATTAATGAGCTAAGAATTTTAATTAAAAAATAGATTTAATTAAATTATATTCTAGTAATTTTGGTTTGTTGTCTAAATGGAAAGCTAATATGATGTGGTAAAAAGTAAGCTCTTTGAATAAGAAGGAAATATAAGCTTAGTGCTAATGTCACATTTTTTGGGTCTCTCAAGGAACTTGATATCAGGGATTATGTTGTGGTTTGCCTAACTGCTTTCATTTTTATCAACAAACTTTTGGATATTTTGCTTTTGTGATCTTACAAAAATTCAGATAAGTTTTCTCACTAAATGGATTGAATTGGTTCTCATTATCCTGGAAAATCCCTGGAGTAACAGCAAAAAGTAGTGAGGAATGTACAAAAAGAATAAGTTATAAAAAATAACTAATTCATTATGGTTAAATGGTTGAAGAGGCACATGGATTATCAATGCTGGGGGTCATTTCCACTGAATGGTGGCCTCCTTAATAGTATGTGCCAGAGAAATGATCAGATTTAATAGCAGGGCTCAGCCATGTGCGAGCAATCTGCCGCTAGTCTGCTTACAGCACCTTCATTCAATCTCTGCTTTCTGCCCTCTCTACAGACGAAAGTGACAGATCGCTTCAGACGGCCATTCAAGAAGCGCCATCCGTCAACCTGCACCCATCTGCCACTCAATCGAGTCAACAAGTACTTGGCACAGGCGATCGATGCTCGCTCGGTCGACCAGGAAAAGCAGACTCACGTTCATCCTGTGACACTGTCCTTTCGAGATTCTGACAAAGAGAGACAAGTGAATGAAATGCCCATTTACACACCTGGAAGAATGGGTGGAATATTTTTTTTTACATTAATTTCTTCTATTGCAGTATCACGAGGAGGTTGATGTCGGCTTTGTGGGTTCCCTTGGAGTGTGTCTCACGTTGCTGCTGTTCCTAGGTGGAATCCAAGTCCTCGTTCTTCCACGCACTCTCATCCTCCTCCTTCTCTTCCTGACTGCCTTTGTCTGGCTGGCGGTTACCCTGATGCTTCTCCTTGCTGTGAGGCTCCGGCTCATCGGCTGGGACCTCTCACGCTCCTTCTATCTTCGACTGGCACTCACTGTCTTCTCCCTGATTCTCCTTTATGCCACTGCACAAGTGAATGTGGTGAGTCCTTGATGGAAGATTTTCGTCATTTTGGTTTACTTATGCTTGGTATTTATACATGATTTTGTCATTTAAAGAACTGTTAGTTGAAAGTTCTTATGATGCTTTAGCTCTGTATCCAGTGAAAATGAAAGAAGCAACAAAAATATGATTATGTTGTTCTGTAAAGATCCAGTTTTTAAATATAATGTGGCTTTTGGGGTGCCTTCAGTTCACTTGCCGTGTGGAGCCGACTTGCCTTCCACATGTGGGCAATGCGACGTCATGGGGTGCCCCGACCCAAGACCACCGCTTGTGTCCTCTCCCGCACTATATAGTGCTCTCAGCTGTGATAGGATTCCTTGCTGTGGCAGTGTTCCTTCGGCTCCCCATCATCGTCAAGGGCCTCATCCTTTCAGCCATGCTCGGTGTCTACACTCTCCTCATTTTCATGTCTCATCTACCTCTGTTTCATTGCTATGGTGATCGTACCAAGTGAGTCCTCTATTGTTGTAGTTTGAGGATGTTGGGAGCTGGAATATTTTTTGATGAAAGTAAAAATGGAGCTGTTTTAATCCAAACATTTTGATGCCTTTTAGGGGAGAGGTGCCAGTGCAGGTGCTGTCAGTGGTGCACTTGCTGATGTTCGTGATATCAGTTCTCATCCATGGGAAGCAGGTGGAATGGACTGGTCGGCTTGACTTCCTTTGGCAAACTCAGGTAGAATTACAGTACCAATATTTCAAATACTGCATCTGCAGCAATTTAGCTAATTTTAAAGTTGAGTAGAGGTGAATGAGTGTGGTCTGAAAATGCTTGAAGTGCAGGTATAACATACAATATACTTTCTCTCAGGCCCGGGAAGAAAAGTGTGATATGGATGCACTGCAGCATAGCAATCGACGAATACTCTTCAATCTCCTCCCTGCTCATGTTGCCACTCACTTCCTGGATGTTCAATTTCGTAGTCATATGGTGAGAATGATTCCCATTTGACAAATATAAACTGGGGGTTGCATCTTTCATCATTGTCTTCTTGAGACTGAAGTGGGATCTCTGCTTTGGTATTAGGAGCTGTACAGTCAGAGCTACAGTCGTGTTGGTGTCATGTTTGCATCCATCACCAATTTCAATGAGTTTTACATGGAATTAGATGCCAACAACCAGGGCATGGAATGCCTGCGACTCCTGAATGAGATAATCGCCGATTTTGATGAGGTATGTTGGTATTATGGCTTCATTTCTGTGCATTGCATCTGACACTATAGTCTTGTACTTGAGCCCTTCCTGCTCTCAATTTCTTTGCCTTGCCAGATGTTGGAGGATCCACAGTTCCAAGCAATAGACAAGATCAAGACGGTTGGCTCCACGTACATGTCAGCCGTGGGTCTGATTCCTGAATTGAGGATCCCTGATGGAAACGATGAAGCAGCTGCTGCCTTCCTCTCTGTCTTGATCGAGTTCATCTTTGCTCTCCGTGAACGACTTTCTAACATCAATGAGAATTCCTACAATAATTTTACCCTCCGTTTTGGTCAGTATGACTCTGTAATTACTTAATAGGTTAAGGTGTTGAATAGTATCTGACTTGTTTGTTGATGATTTCCTGCTTGTTAGGTGTGAATGTTGGACCTGTTGTGGCTGGTGTGATTGGTGCCAGGAAGCCCCAGTACGATATCTGGGGGAATACTGTGAATGTGGCCAGTCGCATGGATTCTACTGGCCTTCCCAATCACATCCAGGTATCCAGCTTTTTTCTTTTGCATATTGACTCTTGAAATGTACTCTTGAATAGGGTGATGAGTAAAAGCTGTGTTCCTTTTTGCTTATGAAGGTGACAGAGGAAGTATACAACTTGATGAAGAACAGCCCATATGAGTTTCAGTGTCGTGGGACAATCACTGTCAAGGGAAAGGGTGACATGACAACATATTTCCTCACTGATCGGAAGCAACTTTCCACAATCCGTATTGAGGACCTCCCTTCGCGGCGAGCCTATTCCAACAACATCGGTAAGCATCCATAGCACAAGCTGAATTGGTATACTAATTTTTCACAAGAATACATGACAATAAAATCAAGACTAAGATTTCTGTTTAGTATTTTTACTGGTACTCATGTGTTTCGATTTATTTTTGCTTGTGTTTAGCTGACTGTTGTCAGTTTTTTCTGACATCTGATGGAAAACTAGAATTGTTGAAGTCACATACATTACTGTATATGAAAGACTTTGAAATGAGTGGAATTGTGTACTGTTTACAGAGTTGAGTGTGATAGATTACAGCTGTCATAGAAAGTGCTTGGACCTGGCCCTTCTGTGTCTGTAACAGTGTTGTAGTTGCTAACTGTGCCCTGGTCTGGAGTTAAAGACTTTTCTTCCCATTTGCTCATCTTCCTTCCTTTCCCTTGTTACTCATGTTTAGTGTCTTTCAATTTCTTCTTATTTCTTGTTTTGAGTACAGCCTGACTTAGAAAACCATGAGAAAATAGTGTACATTTCATGTTTTGCCCTTGTGTGATTCATGTTATTGATAGATGACTTAATTCAGGCATGGTGAATGAATACTGATGGAACTGGTAAGGATTTGCTCTTCTGTTTGGTTGAACTGCATGCTTTTATGAAAATTTAGGTATTTATTGTCTGAATGGAAAGAATACAGATTACAAGGTTTTTTTTTTTAAACCCTTCCTTTCAGTATTATTTCTTTCTTCCTCTTCTTGCAAGGATGTACTATCTCCCATTTGAATAAAAGTTTTAGATCTAGCCCGTTAAGGTGAAGACGGGAATCTCATCCAGACCCCGAAGGGCCAGGTCACTGCCATTGATTGGTATTGGTTCTTATTCAGACACTGTTTTGCAGCAGCAGGCGCTACAGGTGTGATGAGTTACGGAGGGGTGGCCACCCCACTGGCCCTCATCCACCCCCATTCTCATCACCCTGTTCCCCTCCCCCATCCTCCACATCACCATCATCATTTTCATCCTCACACCCCTCCTTCATCATCTCCTCATCTCTTTGTCCCTGCACATTTCCCTCGTATCACTCCGGCTCAAGTGAAGAAAGCCTCCCAATCCCTCCAGCCACCCCCACCTCCACCCCCTCATCGTGCTCGCACCCCGTCACCGTCACTGAATGCCCACCTTCCAATACTTCGCCGCCTTCCATATTCATACGTGGCCTCACCGTGCCAGACTGTAGAGTCTCCCTCGGGACTCCCTCCCATCCCACCACCTCGTTCTACTTCCAGTCCCTCTCCAAATCCAAACCCGCCTCGATTTGTCCCACCACTCATTGCAAGCCAAAGACAAGCCTCGGGGCCGGTCCTCGGTGCTTCCTCGATCCTTTTGGAACCTGGGCCCAGGCATCAAGGACGTCCTCATCTGATCAGGCATCTGAGTGATGAAAGTTTGCAAGGGCACCTTGCTGCATCTCGCCTCTATGGGTACGACGTTATTTGTGGATGCCTTTGGTGTGATGTCATCTTTAATGCAAATCCATCTTGTTGCCTGAGATTGTGCCATCTCTATCTCTGTTGCAGAAATCGTATCCATTCCAGTGCTGATGAGATCAGTTCCATGAATCGGTCATTCAGCTCTTCTGACGAGAGTTATGCCAAGACCGACGACCACTCCCGGACGGGCTTGGATTCCCCATCACCCCCTGCCCATCGTCGGCCTCCTGAGTTCCCTCGCCCTGTCCCCAAAGTCAAGGCGATGGAATCACATCATTCCCCCAGCCTCTTCCAGAAGTACTTGGCCAGTACTTTTGCTGGTCGGTGACATACCAACAGTATTCGTTCAGGAGAAACAATAGAGCAGTTCTTCACTGATCTTTACCTTTCTATCAAATTAGGGAGAAGCTCATCTGGAGAAAGCCTGTCCAAAAGCACTGCCATGACGCCTCCTGAGAGCGTGGGTTGCCGTAGTTTCCCACTTTCAGGTTGGTCTCCAAGTTCCTCATGGCGAGAAGCAGATTCTGATTACCTCAACCAATCGCCTGAGATGGCTCGTCGAATGTTCCGGACTAACCGTGAAAATAACCCTGGTTCTGTGATGCCATTTGGCGATACGCGCGACACCAGCGAGCCAGACAGCGATGCGGACCGGCGTCGAGTCCCTGCGATGGGTAGTGGAAGTTACGAACTGAAAAGAGCGAGGGAGTCTCGATGCAGTTCACGAGGCAGTCAGACCGATGGAACAGGAAGCAAGAAACGAAGTCTCGACCGTTCTTCCGGCAGCAATGAACCCAAGAAACACAGCCTGGACCGCTCAACCAGCAGCAACGACCACCGGAAACGAAGTGTGGACCGATCAACCACCAGCAGTGGGGAGCGGAAGAAGGCAGACCAGTCCTGTCAGACGGAGAAGACCCGTTCTTCCGTTCAGCAGCCCTCGCTTCCTCTCAGTGCCAGGTACGGAAAAATCCCCAATTTCGAGCAGGAAATTCAAAGGTTACTCGCCGACGAGATGGAGAGTGCTTCAGAGAAGGAAGATGAAGAGCCTGCCATTCGCCTCGATGAGATTCGCAGCATGAATGCTGTATTAGCTGAGCTGAGTCAGGCCAGACTGGCAATGCAGTCTGCAACAACCAGCAACAGCAGCTTGACCACTCCAAGCATTCCTTCTCAACCGAATTCCCCCTCGGTGACTCAGAATCGGCACGAACCCCGCCGCACGTTTGGAGATTTCTCCGAAGCAGCCAAAGATCGTGAGACAGATCCAAAGAGCCCAGCTCTGGGATTGGGGCTGCGCTATGATCCAGTAGAAAAGCGCCTCACCCTCCAGCTGTCTTCCCCTGCTACCAGATCCTCTCTGGGTCAAAGTCCTGCCAAAGAAGGGAAATGCAGCCGAAGCTACATTCCAGTATTCAGAGCAGGAGATGCCAGGAAATGTTCTGGGCAAAGCTATCGATCTCATCATCTACCAATGCCAAGGTAGAGCGTTTGATGGATATGCACATGCTTCGACTAATCACTGACTCCTCGTCTTTTCTGCCACCTGAATCTGACTCATGCTTTTGGAGGTGGAGGAAATGCCTGCTTTTGGAGATTCTTAAGCTAAATCATCTGGTTCTTGCATGGGTGCTTGAAGGAAATTGTTTACCTGAACCTGACTGTCTTGGAGGTGAAGGGAATACCTGCTTCTGGAGAATCTAATGCTAGCTCATCTGGTGCTTGTATGGGTGCTTCAAGGGACTGTCTTTTTCATCTTTTCCCTCGTCTGTATTAGGGTATTCTGCATATATTCTAATGCCTGGCACATCCTATTTAAGTGCAAATCAAAAGTTATAAATGCACTGATGAAACATTTCCCTTGGAGCATTTTGAAGCAGTTGAATTAGGCTGCATTATCTCTTGCTCGTTGTTCCTGTTCCTTCTGGGCTCTTTTTTTCACTAATCCATGGATTCTGCATCATTGCATAACCTTGTTGCTGTGCTTCTAAGTAGCAGGGTCTGTCTAGGACTGTCTTTCTGGTAATGCTGTTTGGATTGGAATGGGGTGCTGATTGCTGATGGTTAGGATAGAAGATTTTTTAATGTTCATTGCCAATTTTTGTCAGAAAGAAGTGCAGCAGTGAATGTCTTTGTGATATCACAGTCTCATTCAGTTAATGTTGTCCTTCACTGTTCAGGGCTGGAAAGAATGGAGCGTCAAAAGGAGAAAACAAAGAGAGGAGGAGAGGAGAGGAAACAGATGAGGAACGACGGGAAATCGAAGCGTTTGAAGCTGAAGAAAGACGAATTGCTGAGCTTGTCAGCAAGAATGTAGGATGCTCCATTTTCCTTCCTGGTCATCATAATTTCCCCTTCATTTTGCCATTTTTCTTTCCCTCGCTAGCAGAGAGATGTCATGGCTTTAGAGTGCCTTTTCAATTTCATTACAATGCAATACATTTCAATCATTTCTACCAAGAATTTTCATATCCAGGAGGTTGGAGAAGAGGAAGATGAAGAAGAAGAAGAGGAGGAGAAGAAAAAATTGAAAGGGGAAGAGCAGAGAAAAAGCTCAAGAACCCAGGGTGGCGAAAAGGAGCAAGAAAGGTTCCATTTGCTGCACGAAGGAGAGACAACGAGTCAGTCAGAATGGAGCGAGGATGATGATGGCCTTGCATCAGAGCCTCTCCTTGGTGAGACAGACCGAGAGTCAGCTGGCTACCTGACAGACGATCCAGCTCTGGAGAACATATCTGTCATGCATGAATCTGGGCTCACTGATGCTGAAGGCATGTTTCCATCCTACTGCCATATTCATTTCATTTGGGACAATTGCATCTCCTGGATATTTGCAGATGGATAGGAGTCAATGTTCCTTGTAGAATAGAGTGATTCAGATGTTTCATCAGTGGAATGAGAGTGAAATGACCTCACAAGATTAATGTTTGTCAGTTTTCATCTGTTATCTGAGGCACTTGTGAATTTAGCATAGCTCCAAAATGATCAAGGAAAGTGTGGATGAGAAAAAATTGGCACTTACCAAGGGCTCCTGAAAGGCAGAATTTTCCTGTGGGATTGGATTAATTTATTAGCTATATAGCTAAATGGGGAACGAGTTCATTGAAAATTTTCTTGCAGGAGTTCCCCTTTTTGTATTAGCTAGTAATGCTCCTGCAACTGATGTCCTTCATTTCGGCAATGTGATTCTAGGTGCCATGAGCGACCTGAACTCCTTATACAATGATGGTGGGCACTTTGACGATGACACGAGCATCTCCTCGCGTGCCTCGTCGCGAATGTTCGATTCGGATGCCCTTCTCGGCTACGAATCGGCGGCCATGTGCGACTCCGAGTACGACAACTACCGGCCGTCGGGCATGATCTCGGACGAGGAGCCCATCGCAGACGTTCGCATAAACTACTTCGACGAGTTGAACCTGCAGAGCATCCGATCCATGTCGGAGAACATCACTCGGAATTTCGGCCAGCCGAGGAGCGAGACGGAGCCGGACAGTGACGCGTGACGAGGACCTATCTTTTCATTTTGTGATCGACTATTCTTGCATTTCATTCCTGTTTCCCCCAGTCCACTTCTTTCAGATGGAGCTTCCCAAACGTCAGCATTCACTTTTTTTGTCTCTGCTTGATTGACTTCATGGGGTTTCATGTTATTTTCTTGTGTTCCTATAATCCAGTGACTCTGTTGATGTAATTGCATTTACGTACAAATTCTCGAACCAAACCCAGTGGCTTTTGGCCAAACTCAGTGACGGCAGATTTGTTTTTGTTCTCCCGGCACGCAGTAGATGTTCCTACCGCCTCGGCGTTCTCTCTCGCATGTAGAGCTCTCCTTTTGTTTCTCATGTGATAGAAACACATGTTTATTGGATCTGAGTTTTCTAGAGGGATCTAGTGGGAGATCCTCCCCTGTTGATATTCAAAGTGTGTTCATGGGACTGACATTCTCGGGGAGACACATGGGGCATGCGACTCCTGTGGTTGCACAGACCGACAAGCCAATGAAAGAGTATTAGCCGTTTGGACTTTATTATCGCTGCTTTACCCTTGGAATCCAAATGGAGCTCGTCGACATGCCCCATGTTTCCTTTGAAAATCTCATCTCCAGCATCTTAGGGGAATAAATTAATGACTTTGTTTGTAAACTATCCATATCAGAAATGAATTGCAGTTTTTTCCAAGTGTGATGCTTTTGTCTATAGGTATTCCTGAAATTTGTGGGTTAAAAAACTTTGAAGTTCCCACAATATCAAGTCATTACACACTTGCCTCTGAAAAGCAGTAGCTCCTTGCTGATTCATGGTTCACCCAAATATGGGTCATATTTGTTTTCAAATTTTTTTGCATGCTGAGAAGTATCCACTGTGAAAGGCCACACACTCCCACTTTTCACACTTACAGCGCTTATCTAAATGGAAACACTTGCCATGATGCTTTGAATAATTTTTATTGTTACATGGAAATATGCTTGAGGCTTTTGAGATACGAAGTTTGGGAATCCCTTAAATAGGGACGTTGTAGATCCTTTTGGAATGCCTTATGTAGGCTTCTGTACAACGTGGCAATGGGATCCAGAGGCTTTTCCTCTGGTGCTCAATCAGTCGATGCTGCGAAGTGCGGAAGTTGCACGACTGAAAAAGCGCCAAGGGATAATGAAAAAATATTTAGAAAGGAATTATAAAGGAGCTCGTTTTCGCCATTTTCAGAATAAGAATCATCTCCTTGGCACTCCAGAATGGAATGGTTACCCTAGGGTTTCCACCTGTTAACCCTTTCAGACCTGGCGTCCATTCCAATGGACATTGCATTTACATCGTGTCTATGGTAATTTCTTAGGATTCTCATGACTTTGCGCTCCATATTACGCAACAACGGGAGCAATTGTGCATGACTCGGTTCCATCAGAGGCCTTCTTTCACTCAGTTTTGTAATGGTCAGTTATTTAATTAAATGTATAATATATGGTATATGGTAAATTTAGACAAAATATGAAAGCTACATATAAAGCATGAAAATTTCAATTACAATCACAAAAGAGCTCAAAAATGCGAGAAAGGATATTGTTCCGATAGCAGCCTTAATTCAGGTCTGAAGGGTTAAATGCCGACTGTATTTCGAAAGGCGGAAACATCTGACAACCGTGGAAAGATGGCGGCGTCCTTAAGGGAAGACCTGGACTCATATCTTCATCCGAAGAGCCCAAGTGGCTCAAGACTCGGCTTCTTCGACTCGATCTCGAGTGTTCTTCAGCCAAAAACGAATAATGCGAATTCAGGTGATGCCGAACTGGGGGATCCCCTTTTGGCGGACTCCACTTCTCTGGATGTTGGTCCGTCTCGAGACCCGGAATTCTGCCCCGCCCTGGTAGGCTTGACTTTGAGTCATCAGAGCCTTCAGATTTCGATTAACGTTTTCTTACACTACATGAATGTCGACAAAAGTTAGGCTGTTCAGATTCGATTGGGGCCCATGGTATGGACTTTGCTTCCCATGCAGAATAGACGGCAGAGGGTGACCGGTTTTGTTGGGTGCCTCATCATGGGTTCCTTGTGTTTCCTCATGGCAAGTTTCTATGCGCCTGTTCTCCTGTTGAAGGCGAGGAAGTTTGCCATTCTTTTCTCCCTGGGAAGTCTCTTCTTCCTTTTCAGGCGAGTTCATTACATTATGGTCTGAGACACAGATGCATTGGCTTGGCTTATTGGCCAGGTGTAAACCTTTCCTAGACTGTTTAATTTTAACTGGTTTTGTCCACATTTGTTTGTGAGCTAGCTACCTCCAGGGGAACCCAGATCTAATATCTACTCTCCCCTTTGCCTACTTGTTTCAGGGTCCTCAACCAAATGTGGAACTCAGTTGAAATAGGTGTAAACCTATTGGGGAGGGAGGAAAAGAGAAGGTAAAATTATGGAGGGTGGGGATTGAATTAGTGACATCTAGCACCACTAATAGTACACTACCAACCAACTACCAACTTGCTGAGGATAGCTATATTATGAATTTGGGTTTGGATTGGGACTAGGTTTTGTGTGGGTCAGTTTTTCTTGGCCAATGTAAACATTGGCAATCTTTCATATGAATACCCAAATTTATATATATTGTAGGCCTAGGATTTGTGTCTAAACTACCTGGTCAAAGGATCATAAATTGCTGCATATTTTGGCAGGCCTAAAGGCCATTAACTTTCTAGGACTGCCACTGAAGGTATAGAAGGTGAAGTGTGTCTTCTACTATTGCGTGACAGATGTGTCATTACTTCCAGTTAAGTTTATCCAATGAGGTTTGCAATTTTTTACATCAGGCTGAAGGAGAAACATTGTGAAAGGTTATTGGCAATGATGATTTATACCAGTGGTCTCAAACTCGATTCAGTGGGTGGGCCACATCTTCAAGATTGGACCTCTCTGTGGGCCATAGTGGAAAAAGTCTGAAGGTTTTCCCTGATTGTGTATATTGGGCCTGAAACATTTCTTGGTGTATGCAGGTGGGTCACAGGCTGCATGCAGCCTGCAGGCCACGAGTTTGAGACCCCTGGATTATACATTACAAATACTTTTTCATGGAAATTTTCCAGAAGCATAAGATGAATTGGTTTGCTTTGCAGCTTTTCTTTCTTATGGGGCCCTGTGAGTCATTTCAAGTACCTGTTTTCCAAGGAGAGGGTCCCATTCACTGCATCATATTTGGTGACTCTGTTTGCAACACTCTACTGTGCTTTGAAACTCCGCATGACCCTGTTGACCGTGCCTTGTGCGGTGCTTCAAGTGATAACGCTGGTGTGGTTTCTGGTGAGCCACATTCCCGGTGGGAGCCGAGGCCTGCAGGTCATCAGGAGGATCTTCTCCTCGTCCGTCTCCAAGACGGTCAAGAGCTCTCTGCCCGTGTGATTCTTCCTTGACTTTCCTGACTTGCACCCTGAAAGGATTTCAAATTGTGTCATATATCACTGTGCGGTTGTTGGAACAGAATCCGCCGGTGGGGAAGCCGAATGAGGAAACTCCTCAGATTAAGTATGGATTATGTCCTCATTGTGAGGAAAGCTATGCCATACACCTTGGCATTCTCTGCCAGCAGATGGACTGCTCTATCTTTCTAACAGTTAGCCATATATTTATGGCAATATATTTGACAAAGAGGTGCAAGAGGTGACAGACACTGATACAGCTTGAATGCTTGGAATATATTATTTAATATAGACTGACTAGGGTGCTCATATGTTATGAGTGGGTGGGTGGATAGTGGTTGTGATTTTTTCCTCCCACAGCCTGTATTTTTTTTTGGGAGTTCTGTGATCAGGCACCACATTGTTGGCTTTGCATCAGAATGGAGAGAAATATCAAAGGAATTAGTCCTTGGGCTTTATGGGAGAAGATTTACTTCATCAAATTGCCTTATTGGGTGTCAATGTTTATGTGAATTTTATTATTATCCTATTCCATTATTAAGCAATTTTACAATTTGTACATCCATCAGTTGGCATCACTCTTTGCTGCTCACTTTGTATGCTCACATACAAAGGTTGAACTTACATACACAAAAGCTGGTTGAACTTTGGTGTTATTGCAGATCATGAATATCTTGCTTCTCAGAAATTACAAGATTTTCCTACCAATTGCACATCCTGAGATGACAGGTCTGGCAAAAATTTGTATCCTCTTGGCCACTGCTGAATTTTGTGCATTCCTGACAACAAAGAGGGTCGTGAGTGGAGCAGGAGTTTTGCTCGTGGAAATCCTGGGATACATATGAGTGAATTGTGGATTGTGCATGATCCATTTCTAAAGAAAGTATGCAGCATTACATGGCATGATGATGATAATCCACCACATTTACTATCAGGCAAAGCATGCTCACCTTCCTTCATTTTGGTCTTGAGCTTGTACTTGCCTACAATTTTATAGAATGTGAAGTAGGCAGGGCTGGATGGAAGCTTCAAGCTCCACTGTGTTGAACACAAGCACCCCCCCCCCCTCCCCCCTTTTTGCATGATTTTGATGATGGGAGGGGGAGAAGGTGATATACCTTCAAGATTCAGGAGCTAGATCATATACATTGTAATTTTGTAATTTAAACACTTGAAGAATGTTTCTTTAGTGTTTCATCTTACTCGGGAGAAAACACGCATTTATGGTTAGATCAACTTGTGCAAAAGTGTGGACTATAAATTTTGCATATGAGTAAAGTACTGCTTTAAAAATGTGCATGATAATCCAAGCTTTTACTGATGAGTTTCAAGACCACCAAGTGGACCAACATCATGGTACAGAACGCCTGAATCGGTGTGAAACAGTTTCCAATTAGTTGCTGAAGGACATTAAACGTATGTGTTAAGGAAGCTGGGAATCTTGGAAATGATGGTTACCTACCTTGTACCCCTTGAGCCAATCCAATGTGAAATCGCGTGTGGACTAGGCGACAGGGAAACTGCCTTGCGGAATTCAGTGATCTCTCTTGTCTCTGGAATGGAATGAACTGTTGCTTAAGAGGTGTAACGAAACGCACCGAAGTT